TTTTGGTATCTGGATGATAGTATTAGAAAACAAAATAAGGGAGCACATTGGCCTGTTTTTGCTAAATCCTGAGGCACTGTCAATTATCAAAGTAAATTGAATGAAAGCCACATTTTCAGTGTTTCTTGTGCAAAGTTAAATTTTTTAAAATTTTTATTTAGCGTACCTCTTTTTGCCATGAGGTGCATTCATTCCAGAATTTATGTAGATTTCAGCAGCAAGCAGTTTTAGTATAAAGTTTAGAGATATACAAATTAGAGTGTGAGAGTTTGGCCTACAGTCTGCAGCCTTGCCAATTAAAGTGTCTTGATACTAGTAGTGCTGGCCTTCTTGTGAGTATTGTTGACTGAGGTTAGATCATGTGTATAGATTTTAATGTAATTACTCATAAGTGGTGAGGTAGAAACTTGAAGTCTGTTTGAAGGTTAGATATTTTGGTAATAATTCACTGCGCTAACACCTTATTGTTGTTATATTGACCTAGCTAAGTTAGTTGGAACCCATAGCAGTAGTTACAAATATAGGCAGATAGGAAAAATGATACAAGGATTTGTTGTCAGTAAAACCTATGTCTTATTATTTTGGATACATTATTAATGGAGAACAATTTAAAATTTTAGAAACCAGAAGCTTTTAACTGTGAGATTTAAGAGTCTTTTTTCCCTTTCAGTTGAAATTTTTATTGACACATGAATTTTTATGTATAGTTGTCTGGATATTAATGGACTTTTTTTTTTTTTTATTTTATTCCTTTTATTTAGTGAACCCATATTCTTTTCATTTTATGCCTGTATATTTAAATTTCATACCTTTTAGCTCTGTCATTTTGCATGATTATATGCTATCTAAAAATATTAATTATCTGGCTACATTTTCTTTAATTACTCTGAATATTCTTGCAGAACATAAATCTAAGTGTTTTGGCAGATTCCAACCAGTTTTTGTTTCTTAGTCCAATGGGTTACTTCTGAAGCAAAATTGTTTTTTTGAAATAGATCTTCAAATTGTAATAATTCGTGATTATTTGTTTAAATCGTATGATCTGTAAAAATATTATTTTTGAGAAAATGTTACAATTTCTTCCTTTTTCTTTTGATAAATCCTAAATTATCATAATTTATCCATATGGTCATGTCTTTACATTTGGTGATTTGGCATCTCTGGTTTTGGTTGTCCATAGCAAGACCTTAAAAAAAGTTGATTAACTTCTGAATGCAAACCAAATGTCAGTCGGCTGTAACATAGTGAAATATTGCAGCTCAATACACCCATTACTGATGCTTTCTCATAGTGATTTTGACCAAGATTATTTCAATGGTTATTTCCTAGCACTGTAATCATGTTTCGAAAATGGAATTATCCTGTAGAACCTTTTGTTTATTTTTAATTCAGTTTTGCTTCTTTCTTTTCTTACATTCTGTTTGATGGTTTTGCATATATTGGCAGGGAATCTTGGCTATCAGTATTTAAACAATATTTGAATCATCACTATTCACTTCTCTGTTAATTTGTCTTCTTTTAATGTTTTTAAATTCTTCCTATTCTGATAAATGCTGCATATTTTTTTATTACTTCAATCAAAAGCAAAATTTTCTCCCTTGCTTTGGAACAATACAATACAGAAAAATTTCCTTTACTTTTTATTTATCTTTAGGATAAAATATCAAAATCCTTTATTTTTATATATTCAAATTATTTTGTCATGCATAGTTTGTTTTGCATTACTGTATTTAGTACTGTAGTGTGTGGTTTGGTATACTATTATCCTTTAAAGTAATATTTATATGATGAGAGAATTATGTATGCTACTTACTGTACAAGTTATCAAATTGGATTAAGAGATTATCAAATTAGCTGAAAATCTGAAGCAAAAACGTAACAAATTTTTATTTCTTTATATTGTGTTGTCATTCGGGACTAGTTCCATAGGTAGCTGGCAAAATGTGATTCCATGGCAGCTATTGAAAAATTTTTAAAAATGGAAGACTCAAGCTTGATATTATAGAGGCCTTTTTTTCAAAAACCATATTGTGTTGACCAAATCTAGTTCCAGGATATGATCAATCTTCCAACAGCCCTGATTTTAACATCTTGGATATTAAGATTATTTAATGCATATAAGCGTTATGTCAAATTGTGCCTGCCAATATTGTCAAACTTATTCATGCTGTTTATATTTCATTCAGTGAATTAAATATTGAAATATTAAACAATACCTCTTTGACAGGTCATAAAATGCACTCCACAGGTTGGCAAGGGAAATAATTATAAACTGCCACGCATGAAAAAGCAGTACTTCTATATTGAAACACACTCCCAGAATTCATTACTTGTGCCAGAGAATCCATTAATGTGGTCCATTAAGCAAAAAATAATTTTAAAAATTAAATGATATACACTCAAAAGTCGTTAATCCGGACTCGTCGGGACTTCGGCGATTCCGGATTATCGATTTTTCCGGATTTTAGGTCATCAGTTTAAATCTGGTAAGATGGCATGCAGAAATTACAAAAATAAAAAAATGAAACCGTAATTTATGAAATAAAGAACAATTATGATCTAAAGGGTATCAAAATTTAATTTACAAAAAGGAAAAGCTTAACATTTATTTGTTAACTTTATTAAACATTTCTTTCAATGTAAGTTGTTTAAGTTGCTTCGTTTCATGTGATAATACTTTCTCTTTAATTCTATTAAACAGACATAATTTCTTGTTTAGTTACAAAGTTCCGCTGTTCAAGTCCTATAATTGCTGTGTCGAGAATACCGACTAATTTGTCAATCGAAATTTTTTCGTTTTCAATAACCTCTGTCACTTTCTTCACTATCGGAAGCGAATTATAATGACGAGGAACTTGTTTTAAATCATATCAAAGACGGAGTACATCGAGATGAAATACTACATTTGGTAAGGAATTATAAGCCAAATAAAATAAAAACATCTGCCCTGAAGATAAGGATAGTGCTGACAGATTAACTTCCAATTAATTGCGCGCCGCGGCGTTCCCCCCGCTGAGCAGCGTGAAATTGATAAACAGATTTCGGATTTCGAAACATACTTTCGCTTTAGATGCTTTACATATTAACAAATATATATCGGAAATTCTATTTGATATAATCGAAAGTTCAAGCTTACTTTTATAAAATTGCTCTAACAATCTGCAAAAAATAATAATCCGGATCCAATTCGAAGATTTAGGAACAACGCAATCTGCAACATTAACTGAATTAGATAACTTTAGCTTAGCTTACACCGTCCGTTCTACATTAAACGCGCATGTGTAAACGTTTTATGAGCATGCGCACAAGCATATTCGCAGCCGTAAAGGTCTTACGCACGCACGTAAACGCCGCGACGCATGCGCAGAAAGTTTGTAGCTTTGAGGTCCGGATTATAGATCATTCCGGATTATGGGTGTCCGAATTAACGACTTTTGACTGTATATGAAATAAAAGTTAAATAAATACCTGTTATATTCAGATATAGTTTTATTGTACTTAGTAAATTATATATAGCTATTGAAATTGGTGACAGGGCAGGGAGAAACACTGTTTTTCTTGAGGGACGAAACAGTCATTTTGATACAATATTGGGTTTAAACAAAAGTTTTCCACCACTGCAAATATTGTCTGCACAAACACTTTAGCGTGTTCATTCATAATTTGTCAAGCGATTTTTGGCATTTGAAAGAAACAGACTTGTTTTAGAAAGTGTTCTGAAATTTGTAAAAATATATCGTTATCATTAATTGCAAAAAGTGCAGCTACAGTATGCCACCAAATCATGTGTACAGCTTTAGGTACTAATATTGTACCAGTTTGGTACTGAAAGTTAAAAAATAAGGAATATGGCATTCAAGAAGTAGAATGCTCTGGCCAGCCTACAGATGTCGATGAAGCCCACTTGCGATAACTTGGGGAACAAAATCAGTAGGCAACTACTCAAGAGCTTGCTAAAGAAATAGACATTAGTGTCATGTCCATTAGTTGCATTATGCATCGCATAAACTTGACGTATAAGTTCAATCACTGGGTGTCACACGAGATGGCTCAAGCAGATAAGGACAGATGTGTTTGGGTCTGCACCAATCTGCTCAGATATCTATGCAAGAAACAAAATTCTGGACCAGTCACTTGTGATGAAAAGTGAATTTACTTCAATGACACAAGCCGAAAGGGGGTTGGTCTGCACCTGGTGAGCCCGTTTGCAGCTGTCGTAAAGCACAATTTGACTAACAAAAAGACCATGCTTTGTATCTGGTGAGATATCCATGGTATTATCCACAAAGAGTATCTGGAAAAAGGAAAACCCTTGACAGTAAGGTGTACAGCCAGATGTTAGTCTGTGCTGAAGTTGCTATTAAGGAACAACATCGAACTGAGTTCCAGCACAAAAAGGTAATAGATTATCACATCAAGATAATGCAAGACCATATGTGTTTGCAGTCACTGGCTGGACTCGTTCTGTATGGGCTCAAATTTGATCTTTTGCCACACCATCATTATAGCCCAACGTTGCTCCTTCGTACTTCTACCTTTTTTCACACCTGCAGCTACATCTTGTTGATGCTATCTTCCATTCTGCTTAGGACATCTGAAATAGGTTGATCTGTTGTTGGACTAACGGCCACCAAAGTTCTGGGCCGAGGCTTTGAAAAACTACCAAAACAGTGGCAGAAAATCATAGATGTGGATGGTGATTACTATCTGCGCTAAAGGTATTGCTGTGAGGTTTGTTTGTTTTTCTCTAACTTTATTAAGAATGTTTTTTGGCATAAAACTTCCATTACAACCGCATATTTTATGCAAATAGAGCAATCATTTTGATATGTAGGGATACTTATTAATGCTCATTAGAGAATAAATAGTTTGTGATAATTAATGGTCTTTTGTTGGTAATCTGATTAAAATGAATTATGCATGAAATTATTGTTTTGTTCACTAGTCAGATTTTGATTTAATTTTCGATATTTTGGTGAAAGTTTCTTTTTATCTTTTAGAGATATAATTCTGATGCAAAATAGCTTCTGGGCAAGAAAGACTGAGTATAGCAATGAATAATTCAGAGAATTCATCTACCTCTAGTGATTGCATGAACGTAAATGATGTGCATATTCTGGTTGATACTGAAGAAGATGAAATTCCTCAAGTATTGCATGTTTAAATACTCGTAATAAGCATTAATTTTTTTTAATTTTAATAAAATATTCAGTGTAGAATTAATTCTAATAAATTCAATAAAGATGTAGAAATCAGTATAATGTAGTAATGAAGTAGTATAATGTAGAAATCAGAATTCTGGTTCACTTGGTTATTCATATTATTTTTTGTAAAATTTCATACTTCAGAGCAGTAAATAAATGTGTGTTTCTTGAATCATCATCATAAGATCTTAACATAAATACCATAAGCCTACAGAATAGTGATATTTTATGATCTTTTCCTAAAAATAGTAGTATTATGTCATAAAATTAGAAATATATAATTATATAAGAAGCAGCATTTTTTTTTTTGTAAGTTATTTATATTATTTTATTGCAATGTATTGCATTTATAAACATTCATAGGTTTGATGCAGGTTTTTCTTAAAAGTGGAAAAAGTTATAATTTAAGCAAATTATTGATGAATTTATTATAAATTAATAGATGGGACAATGTGTAATTTATTTGAATATGGTAAGCACCCAAAAGCTATCCTTCTAAGGGGGATGCCTCCATAGAGAATTTTGTAAGGGAAACTTACAAATTTCATATTCAAATTACACACAAAGGAAATCAATCATGCAGCCAGGTCTTTCACCTCAAATCAAATGTTGGTCAAACTCCCAGTATTCAGCAGTCTTAACACGTTGAGCGTGGCGTTGGTCCCTGGGGACCGGCAGTGAACTTTCCGTGTGGCCGGCGTCAGTCCCTGGGAACTGGCACTGGAATTTTCATTTCGCTGGTGTCAGTCCGCAGGACCGACAGTATTAAAGTTAAAAAATAAATATGGTCTCAATGAAATTTGATCAAATTTAGTTTTAATGAAATGTATTGAAACGTTCTAAACAAGCATAGACCTTAGCTCTCTGCCGGCTAAACAGAAAGGACAGCAAATTCAGCGCCGTGCTCAACATGTTAATCACTTAATGGAATTATTTGTAAAAATGCATCCATATTATTGGGTCAGTCCATAAATTCATGCACATTTTTTTTGGTAAATTTTTAAATAATATAAAGAAAACACAATTTAACATTTTAATTATATATTTTCCTCCATTATCTACAATGTCTCGCCATCTTACAGGCAACGTTTTTATGCCATTGCTATAGAAAGACTCTGGTTTTGACATAAAAATTGCTTGGAAGTTCATTGTGTACATCCTGTTTAGAATTTAATTTTTTTCCCAGTAAAAAATTTTGTAAGGCATGAAATAGGTGAAAATCACTTGGGACAATATCTGGCGAGTAAGTAGGATGTGGCAAAAGCTTCCAATTAAATTCACTAAATTTTGCAGCGTTGTTCGAGCCGTATGCGGTCTAGCATTATCATGATGAAACATCACTTTCTTGATATTCACCAATCATGGGCATTTTTTGATCAATTCTGAGTTTAAACGGCATGTTCACTATAAACTTCTGAATTAATCGTTTGATTTGGTTATAACAGTTCAAAATGGCCTGAATGGGTTCATCATCAATGCTGCATTTTCCAACTTTAAATTTTTTAAACCATTTCTGGGCAGTCCTTACGCTAATAGTGTGTTCACCATGTGCACTATTAATTTTTATCGCTGCAAACCTGGCAGATTCACCATACGAAAATAAAAAATGTAGCACAGCGCGTTTGTACTGATTATCTATATTCATCTTCTATGGGTACTAAAATGTGTTCGATATTTACGAAAGTTGGTGATGAACTGAATAATATGTTAGTCAAACGATGAGAAGTTTCAACAGGTTCAAAATTGCATTGTTTTAGTAAATGTGTCATAGTTAATTCCACGCATACTGTTAATGTGCACAAACTTATGGACTGACCCAATAAATATTTGAAAATCCTAAGATTGTATAAATGAGTAAAAGTGGTTGATTTATTAAGAAACAGCATGACTGTTTAACAGTTAAAATACCAGTAGTGCAAACTGCAGTATGAAAGCGATGCACATGCTTAGGTTCCCAAGGCTTTAGAGGGCTGTTAGATTTTCTCCTAAACTAAATTTTCATGTTTTAATTTTAAATTTAGGAAGGAAATAGAAACAGACTAGGATTTTTGCTTCCAGATAGTCAGAATCACGAACTGCACAAACGTCAGTTGAAAGAAATTCAAATTGAAAACAAAATAAGCTGTATAATGTTCTGATTCTCTGCTACATGACAGCTGTAAAGTTTATCCTAAGTTTATTATAGTTATTTTTAAGTTAGAGCTCTTTTCTTATTTCTCCTAATTTCAGCTTACAAATTTCCTATTAGAATGTGTTTTTTAGAATGGTGTTTAATGCAAATGAGAAGGAGTAGTATTTAAGTCTAAGTTCCTTTTGACTGAGAGAGAGAATCAGAGTTTCTGACTTGTGCATGTTTGCCACGCATTTTAAACCACGTCTCTTTAAGCTGTTACTACGCTCAGCTGTATTACGGACTCTTGATAGCTTCGCTAGCTAATACGATATTTAGGGGCCAACTAGTTAGATATGTTAAGACACAATAACATGTCGAACAAATATTAATTCAGAAGTCAAACAACAAAAATCAGCGTTATATTTTCAAATTTTCACAGGACTAGTTTTGATGGTTTTACCGAACCACCATCCTCAGCTGCAAAAGCGCAAATGAACGAGAAAGCGAACGCATTTGCAGCTGAGGATGGTGGTTCGGTAAAATCATCGAAACTAGTCATGTGAAAATTTGAAAATATAACGATGATTTTTGTTGTTTTACTTCTGAATTAATAGTTAGATATGTGTTAACTTCGGCTAAATCTCATTAGTTAATCATTAGTTAAATTCTTATTTCTTATATTTTTAAGCCTAAGTGCAGGCTTTGTTATGCATCCTGAAAAAGGGACTGACTGTAGACCTTTAGTTTAAGCAATAAAGGGGTAATTAACCCTGCTTGAATGTTTCTGTTTCTGGACTTAAGCGATTATTCATTTAGCAGTTCACTAGGTTCCTCCACACTTAGTTAATAGTAGATAAAAGGGAGGAACACTGCAGAGCTTTCAAGTTGTTAATGATGAAAGCTATTGGCGATTCTGCTCTGTTGGCAATGTAACAATCATACTTATTGTGAAAGCAGTTTCTGGAGACAAGGTTTCAGAAATGATGTGATGGGCCATCATGACTTTCTGTACTTTTTTATATCTTCTAGTGAAAGGAAGATCCAGAAAATGCTTTTGCATTATTGCTGCATGTCAAATGTTTTCTCATGAATGAAAAAGAGTTGGTTAATTTAGGGTGAAGATGAATATTGCTTCTGGGTTCATTGTTCGCTACGCTTTGATTAAATAACTTATGTAGCTTTCATGTAGTAAAAATAAATAAATGCAGTCAAAAGTCTTTAATCCGGACTCAACGGGACTTCGGCGATTAAATTATAAAATTAAAAATATGAAACCGTAATTTATGAAATAAAGAACAATTATGATCTAAAGGGTATCAAAATTTACAAAAAAAAAAAAAAAAAGCTTAATATTTTATTTGTTTACTTTACTAAACATTTCTTTCAATGCAAATTATTTAAGTTGCTTCATTTTATGTGATAATACTTTCTCTTTAATTCTATAAACAGACATAATTTCTTGTTCAGTTACAAAATTCAAGTTCTATAATTCCTGTGTCGAGAATACTGACTAATTTGTCAAACGAAATTTTTTCATTTTCAATAACCTCTGTGTCACTTTCTTCACTATCGGAAGCGAATTATAATGACGAGGAATTTGATTTAAATCATATCAAAGACGGAGTACATCGAGATGAAATACTACATTTAGTAAGGAATTATAAGCCAAATAAAATAAAAACATCTGCCCTGAAGATAAGGATAGTGCCGACAGATTAACTTCCAATTCATTGCGTGCCGCGACGTCCCGCCCCCTGTAGAGCAGCGTGAAATTGATAAACAGATTTCAGAATGGTTAGAGAAACAAAGGATATGCCTTTATCCATTTTTTGCTACAATTTCACTTTTTGTTTGATGGACATCGAAACATACTTCGCTTTGTAGATCCTTTGGCAGCTCCAGCATCGGAAATTCTATTTGACATAATCGAAAGTTCAAGCTTACTTTTATAAAATTGCTCTAACAGTCTGCAAAAAATAATAAGCTGCATCCAATTCGAAGATTAAGGAACAACACAATCTGCAACATTAACTGAAATAGATAATTAGATAATTTTAGCTTATCTTATACCATTCGTTATACATTAAACACACATGCGTAAACATATTATGTGCATGCGTAAAAGTATTACGTGCATGCGTGAAAGCATTATGCTTTGACGCATGCGCAGAAAGTTTGTAGCTTTGAGGTCCGGATTAACGACTTTTGACTGTAAAACATTTTAAGTTCCTTTTCTTTCTGTTAAAAATTCTAATTTCTCCTTTTTGCAATTTTTGTAAAAATCTATACTACTATTTTATTACTTACTTAATCTCTGCTATCTTTATACTTTTCCTCCTATTACCAGAATAGCTGATTAAATAGTTTATGCATTTTTTCCTGTTATCAGATAGCTTATCAGTGAAATTTATTAATGCGCATTAATCCCAGTATTTATGTAAATATATTTAATTTTAAGAGAATCACCGCAGTTCCTTACCTAGTACCAAATACAACTTTTAATGGAATCTTGTTCCGTACTGTTATGAATTTTGTATATTGGGCAGTACTGTTACAAATTTTGTACTTGTGTAAATAATTTTAATGAAATTATATGTAAATTTTACTTTGTCTTGTATAATGTAACATGAAAGGCCTCAGAAATGTGAAGCATTGCCAGAAAAGTAGAATTACGGTGTGCATACTGTCCTTGAAAGTGCTTAAAAGTTCTCAAGCTTTTTTTTTTTTTTTTTTTTTTTAATGATTTTTATTCCTCAAGAGTCTTTAATTTCAGCAAAAGCCAGCAAATTGTTCTCATTTTTATTCATCTGACATTTAATTTTTTTTATGACT